GCCTCTGCCCGCCTGCGGGAGCCTGGCCGCCGCCCCAGCTCGGCGCAGCGTCGTGAGCACAGCGGAGCGGCGCCTTTGGGGTCTCCTTGCTCCTCTCCTCCTCTCCTCTCCTTTCTTCCTTTTCTTTCTTCCCACTCCTTCCTTCCTTCTGCCTTCCTCTCTCTCTCCCTCTTTTGTCCTACTTCTTCCCTTCCTTCTGCCTTCCTCTCTCTCTCCCTCTTTTGTCCTACTTCTTCCCTTCCTTCCTCTCTGTAGCTCTCTGTCCCTGACTCTGTTTGTATCGGGACTGGGGTTTAAAGCCAGGCGCACCCCCTTTTGTCTTCTGCCTTCTGAGATCGGGCCCCCCTAACTCACGAAGTTGCCCGGGCTGCGCTCAGCCTCGCCATCCTCCTGCCTCAGCCTCCCAGAGTGCTGGGATCACAGGTGAGAACCGCCACGCCCAGCCTGCGGGATTTTTTTCCCTCCCAACAAGGGCTTCCTGAGTCATCGCACACCTGTGCCAGGCGGGCGCGGCTGGTGTTGTATCAGAAGCGGAAATGCTGCGAGGTAGGCATCCCGGGCGGGGCCTAACCCCGCTGAGCTGTTCAACTGCGTCTCTGTGACGTGGGCTCCAGGCCAGGCGGCGACCCTTTAGACTCCAGTGATTCACACACTTTCCCCACTGCTTTGGACTCTTGCATTTGTCCGATTCATACCTGGAGAAGGGGTCATGTGCCTGTCACGGTAGCCCAGGCCTGTGGGTCCAGCTGCTCAGGAGGCTGAGGTAGGAGGATCACAAGCTTGAGGCCAGCCTGGGTCATGTAGTGAGACCCTGTCCCGAAAGAAAACGTGAATCCACTTTTACAAAAGGGTTGGGGTGTGGCTCAGCGCGACATCCCTGGGTCCGGTCACCAGTGCCACCAAAAGAAAAGGAAAGAACAGCGAGAAGCTTCCCTCAGCGTCGCTGTCTCCTGCCTTTAGGCGCCAGGCTGGGCCTACTTCCTGGGCGCGCTGGGCCTGCTCACCTACCAGTCCCTGGACGCCGTGGACGGGAAGCAAGCCCGGAGAACCAACTCCTGCTCCCCGCTGGGGGAGCTGTTCGACCATGGCTGCGACTCTCTCTCTTCAGGTAACTCGGCAGGGCCATGATCCCGACCGCTTACACCCAGGCAAACCCAGTGGCCTGCCGGGCCAGGTCAGGCTTTGCAGGAGACATTCGGGACCAAGTGTGGGTTCAAAGAGTAAGCTCCAGGACTCGCTTGGGTTTTCTGAGAAGCGTCTCGCTGTGTAGTCCTCGAACTCATGGAGATCCTCCTGCCTCAGCCTCCCCAGGGCTATGATTCCAGATGTGTGCCACCACACCTGCCTTAAGAATTCACTTTTTAAAGGATTTATTTTAACACCGGGGTTATGTTCCCTAAAACTGCTTTCCGAACCCACACGGATGGCGATCTCATGCAGTGTCCTGCCCTCCTGGTTTCAGTGCTGATGGCTGTGGGTGCCTCGGTGGCCGTGCGCTTGGGCACGCACCCCGACTGGCTGTTCTTCTGCTCCTTCGTCGGAATGTTCATGTTCTACTGCGCACACTGGCAGACCTACGTGTCGGGCGTGCTGCGATTTGGGAAGTAAGTGCGTCTCCGTGTCTGTGTGAAGCCGCTGCCCCATCTGCCTGGCAGGGAGGAAGCGTCATGCATCGTCCTGGCATCGCCCGGGGCTACGCTGCCTTCCACCGCCTCCGGTCATCTCCTGTGGCAGCCCACTGCTTAGCAGGGATTTTACTTTCCTTCTGTCCTCACCTTTCTAGCCCAGATTTACAGTAAACGAGGACAACTGAAAAATAAGGGATATAGAAAAAGGCTATGTGATATAAAGTGCTGGGCGTGGTGGTCATACCTGTAATCCCAGCACTCAGGAGGCTGAGGCAGGAGGATCGCCATGAGTTTGAGGCCAGCCTGAGCTCCATAGTGAGTTCCAGGTCAGTCGGAACTACATAGCCAGACTGTGTCTCACAAAAAGGAAAGGAAAGAAAAGAAAAACTAAATAAGCAGCGTCGGATGGGGGTAACAGAATCGTACTGTGGTTGTTTTAGGTTCCATCATCAGGTGTGGAAAAGGGACACACTCACCCCGCTTTAGTCACTGCCTGCAGGTTAGCGCGAGAGGGGAGGCCGTGCCTGCTGGAGACCCCTGCAGTCCCTCTCTGTGCCGTGTGCGACGCAGGGCTGAAGAAAAACTTAAGACAGCGTTAAGAGAAGGTGTGAGCTGTAAAGACACTGGCTCGTCTCCACTGCGTTCATTCTGTTTATTTTTATTTTTTGGTACGGGGATCGAACTCAGGACCTCGCGCTTGGGAGCCAGGCGGTGGCACCGCTGAGCTAAATCCCTGGCCCCACCGCGTTTATTCCTAATCAGGGTAAAGGTGCAGGGATAGATGTGCGGGGGTGAGATCGCCAAGGGAGCCAGAGCGGGTGAGGCTCTCAGGAGAAGCCGGGATGGGATGTGCGGTGTCACAAGGGCCCGGATCGTCAGTGCGGATGTTGTCTCGCATGCGCCCCACGGTGGCACAGGCCACCGCTCTGGTCCTGGTGTGGCCCCTGGGGGCTCCCGCGACCCTGCGCTGTGCTCCAGAGAGGCCCCGTGAGCCACGCGGCTCAGGCAGACGCTTCCTCGAGGAAGTCAGTGGAGGGTTCGCTCTGCAGCCCTTGGGCACCCCCAGTACTGCGGGCTCTGGCCCTGGTCGGGGCTGGGGTGCTACATGGAGGAGGAGCCTTCCCCGGCCCCAGGGCAGCCAGGGGGCGCCTGTCATCCCGGCACTTGGGAGGCTGAGGCAGGAGAGTCAAGGTGAGTCTGAGACCAGCCTTGGCTGCATCATGAATTCAGAGGCAGCCCCAACTATATATATACAGCCAGATCCCAGGTCGAAAAGCCCAAACCCAAACCAAACGGAAAAACCCAACAACAAAAATGGAGCTCAGGGAAAAAAAGAGGTCAGAGACACGGACTTAGGTCGCTGAGGTACCAGTGGCCGGCTTAGGGACGGTGTCGCTCCTCGGAGAGCGTAGAATTGAAGGTGGAATTCCGAGGCGGCCTGGGAGGAAGGCAGGGGTGACAGGAAGGCAGGGGTGACAGGAAGGCAGGGGACCTGGCTGGCCTCAAACTTCAGGGAGCGGGAGAGGCTGGGATCAGATCAGATCACAAAGGGCAAGGAAGTCTTGCCAGTGAATCTCTGGCCTGCAGCCCCAGGTGTGACAGATTCAGTCCCCGATCAAACACGTTCAGCAAAGAAGGGAGGCAAAGTCCAGCCTGGGGCGAAGCCTACGGCAAATCCAGAGCAGTAGGAAAATCAGTCCTGACTCAGCGCCAGCTGGCAGGTGCATGGGTCAGAGAAGTGTGCTGCCCGGACTCGTGTTTGGGAGGGAAATGGAGAGATGTTACATATTAGGGTAAAAATATCTGCAGAGCCAAAAAAATTGTAGTGATTGTAGCTACCAATAGTAAGAACAGTCTGTTCGTAAGTCTACTAGAAAAGACTATTAGTCAGAAAAGCTGTTGGAGTTTTCCCTAGTTGTAAGTGAAACAGACTTAGGATTGTTCAAGAATTTGCCCTAAATCAGCTGGCATGGTGTCACATGGCTATAGTCCCATCACTCGGGAGGCTGAGGCAGGAGGATGGCCCCATAGTGAGACCCTTCTCCAAAAAAAAAAAAAAAAAAATTTTTTTTTGTCCTACATCACAATTATTTATATAGTATGAATGTTATTTCTTCTCCTGATTTACAAGGGTAATGCATAATTGTAAAAATTCAAACTTTGAAGAAGTATTTAAAGCAGAAAAAAGTTTCAGTTATCTCAGTGAAATGTGCTATACAAGTTTTTCCCCTCTCTGTATTAATATTTATTATGTGGGGGCGCATGTGGCATCGTAGCCTTTTTTGTACTGCAGTCAGGCAGTTGACCGTTCAATGTGGGAACTGGGTGTGGTGGTGCACGCCTGTCATCCCGGCACTTGGGGAGGCTGAGGCAGGAGGATCTCAGCGAGTTCAAGGCTAGCCTGAACTACATAACAAGACCTCGTTTCAAAAAACTAAGAAAGAAAAAAATTTCAGTGTGGGCAGTTAAGGTAAATCTAAATATCTTTAGTATTGTAGCAGACATAAGCCTACGTGTTTGGGAATTGTGTTTACCAGCCTCTTCCTGTTCTCCGCCCTCCCTGTAGAGTGGATGTGACTGAGATCCAGGTGGCCTTGGTGATCATCTTTATCTTGTCTGCATTCGGTGGAGCCTCGATGTGGGACTATACGGTAACCCCAGCATTTAAATTCACGTTTAAGTGACTTTTTCAAGATTTAGGACAAACCATTGTGTTGTTAATTTTCTTCAGAAGACCTTAGCATTGCTAAGTATCCCCCATTCCTTTGTTTTGTGTTCCTACCCTGTGAATGAGCCTTAGAATGGTGCGTTTTCTCTGTGCGAGAGTATTTCAGGACATCAAGGAAAAGGACCATGTTTCCCTAAAAGGAGGGGAAACCCTGACATTATCTTTCCAGGCTAAAGTTATCTCGTAAGATAAGGAAGTTGTGAGGCTCTGGAAGACGCTGGGACTTGTCCCTGCACATTAGGCGGATTCGTCCGGATGGTCAGCGCCGCTCTGAGCGAAAGGCCGGGCCGGGATGGCCTGGTCTGCCCTTGCTCGCTCGGTGCCCGTGGTGTTCTGGTGCAGGAGGGCTCTTAGGAGACAGACCTCTATCACAAACTCCAGTTTTGCATAGGAACAAAACTTGCAAGGGGGCTGGGGATGAAGCTCAGCAGCACAGCGCCTGCCTAGCAAGCGCAAGGTCCTGAGTTCAAATCCCAGAACCAAAAAAAAAAAAAAAGGAAAGAAAATTGACAAACAGATGGTTCTGTCACCTGTCACCAGAACGAGGCCTGGCTAATGGACGACTTCACCGGCTCTCTGGGTGGGGAAAAATAAGTAACATTCATTCAGTGCTCACTGCGTCCTGCTCTTCCCATCTGCCTCCCTAACCTCGCGTTCCTGCACGATCCAGAGTGCTCTGAATGTTTTATAAATAAGTCGCAGGGACATGAGGTCATTTTTGGAGCTAGGAATTAATCGGGCCTTCGTGCCTGTGGTCACTTCCAGGGAAGACCAGTGACGGATGGCAGAGTCCCAGGACCCTGCGGTGGCTGGGGCACAGGGGACCCAGGACAGGGAGGTGACAGAAGTCCGTGTGGGGCGGCAACTCAGAGGTGGGGCGGGGAGCCCAGCTGCC